ATATACTTTGTCTAGAAAGGAGAAAAAGATAATGTGTAAGTTTCTTAGTGAAGTTAAAGTTCCAGAAGGATACTCTTCAGATATTAGAAGACTTGTTTCTATGGAAGACCTAAAGTTAAAGAGTTTAAAGACACATGATTGCCATGTTCTTATGGAACACTTTCTACCAATAGGTATACGTTCTATTTTGCCAGAAAAAGTGAGAGGCGCAATAACAAAATTGTGTTTCTTTTTCAGATCTATTTGTAGTAAGGTGATCGATCCTGCGATCTTACCAACATTGCAAAAAGATATAATTATTACTTTGTGTGAGCTTGAAATGTATTTTCCTCCGTCATTCTTTGACATAATGGTAACATCTAGGTGTGCATCTCGTGAAAGAGACACAACTGTGTGGACCTGCATATATGAGATGGATGTATCCAGTTGAACGTTATATGAAAATATTAAAAGGGTATGTGAAAAACCGAAGTCGACCAGAGGGATGTATTGTTGAACAATACATTGTTGAAGAAGCTATTGAGTTTTGTACTGAATATTTGTCCAACGTTCAATCCATTGGCCTCCCAAAATCTGATGTTGTTGAAAAAGTAGTAGGTAAACAGTTAATTGGAAATAAAGTTGTGACAGTTTCAAGGGATGAACGGGAGCAAGTGCATTTATATGTTCTGCACAATGACATTGAGGTTGAGCAGTACGTTAAATTGCACAAGGACGTTCTCCGAGGTTTAAATCTGAATAGAAATGAAAATTGGATAGTACGTGAGCACAATCGAAGTTTTATAACATGGTTCAAAGAGCATATTTATTCAGTTTTATTCTGATCCCGCTTCAATAACAGAAAGGTTGAGATGTTTAGCATATGGTCCAACTTTGCATGTGTTTTCTTATAGCGCATACGCAATTAATGGATACACATTTTATACCAAGGAGCAAGATGATAAAAGTACAATGCAAAATAGTGGTGTCACTGTGCTTGCCGAATCAATGCACATTTCTTCGTATTTTGGGGTAATCGAGCGCATTTGGGTGTTTGATTATGAGAAGTTTCAGATTCCTATCTTTGGATGCAAGTGGGTTGAAAGTAATAGTGGCATACGTATGGATAAGTCAGGTTTTTTGCAAGTGGATCTTAATAAGGTGGGGTACAAAGATGAGCCTTTTATTCTAGCCACGCAAGCTAAACAAGTGTTCTATGTCACTGATCCGAAAAGTAAGAAATGGTCTATAGTTCTTTTTTCCAACAAAGTAATCAACGATAACATTGGAGAAAAAGGGGAGGTTGATGTTGAGAATGAATCTTATGTTAGGGATGATCCAGATGAGAATATTATAGCAGACGAATCATATATTAGAAATGATCATAGCGAGGGAATTTGGATCAATCCATCCGTCCGTGTTGTTAAGAGACAAGTAAAGCACCTTCGAACTAAAAAAAGAAAAAGATGTTAAAGGTACTTGTAAAATTACATATTGTCTCATTCAATAAAATAACATATTATTTCTTATTTATACGTTTCTTATGTGTATATATATATATATATATATATATATATATATATATATATATATATATATATATATATATATATATATATATATATATATATATATATATATATATATATATATATATATATTTCTTATTTACATATTTGAATGTCATTCATTTGATACTTTAGTTTTCCTGAATTACAGGTATATTATGGCCAGCAATGAAGATTGGAAGAAATTAAAGTAGAATTGTATAATTTGTGATGTTGAATTTCGAGTTGAGAATTGTATATAATTTGTGATGTTGAATTGTGAAGCTTTTGAATTATATATATTAAAGTGGAATTGTATATAATTTGTGATGTTGAATTGTGAAGCTTTTGAATTATATATATTAAAGTGGAATTGTATATAATTTGTGATGTTGAATTGTGCATATAATGCCAAAGTGTTGAATTGTGCACATAATGCCAAAGTGTTGAATTGTGTATATAAAGCCAAAGTGCTGAAATAAAGGGCTAAATTATATAAGCAGGTATTGTAATATAAGCAGGTTTATTGAAAAATATATAAAAAATGCCATTAATCAGGAATTTTTTTCTTCAAAACGTGCACATTAGACAGCGCTTTTATGTATAAGCGCTGCTAAAGGGGACAGAGAAACTGCTAAAAAAGCGCTGCTATAGGTGGGGAAAGAGGGGTCTAAGACAGCGCTTTCATAAAGCGCTGCTATAGGGGGGGTCTAAGACAGCGCTTTAATAGAGCGCTGCTAAAGGGGGGGGGGGGGGGAGGGGGGGAGATTAGGCAGCGCTTTAAAAAGCGCTGCTAAAGGGGTAAAAAAGCGCTGCTAAAGGTGATGTCTTTAGCAGCGCTTTTTCCACAAAAAAAGCGCTGCCTTTACCTTTAGCAGCGCCACTTTAGGCAGCGCTTTAAAGCGCTGCTAAAGGTCTTTTTTGGCATAGTGTAATGCACATAGTACTTTCATGAGACTAATGAACCATGTGTTAAAGGAATTTTTTGGTAAGTTTTTTGTTGTGTACTTTGATGATATTTTGATCTATAGTAAGAACTTAGATGATCATTGCATTTATTTAAGGGTTATTTTATAAGTGCTAAAGAAGATATGCAACTTGTCAAAACGTTTCAAAGCTTTCGAGATGATGTATGTACCTAAGGAGCAGAATTTTAGCTAATCTTCTGTCCAAACTCACCAGCTCGAAGAAAACAGTGTGCAACCACACTGTAATTCAGGAGACGCTCGTCGTCCCTAGTATCGAGGCAAACACTTTCAAAGTCACCAAGACCATTGGTTGGATGAAGCTTAAAATACAACATATGTATCCATAAACGCACAAAAAAGTACACTCTAGTGTTAAGGAGGCTCTACAAAATAGGAAGGGTTTTTCCTATGTTAAATTATTTATGAGAATACAAAATCTCCCTAGTCCTTGCTAAATTACTTCAAGGGGATTGTGGCAGTAACATTGGTTGACGAACCCTAGTCCATAAGCTGCAAAAGACAGGCTATTATTGGCCCACTCGAATGAAAGACAATATGTTTTTTATCATGAAATGCGACAAATGCAAGAGGAACGCTAACCTACATCACACCATGGCTAAACTCCCTCATTCCATCACGATGCCCTAGCCATTATAACAATAGGGCATGAACATTCTGGGCCATTTCCCCTAATACCCGACCAGTTAAAGTTTATGACTGTTAGAGTGAACTACTTCATAAAGTGGATACAAGCTAAAGTCATCTCTAAAATTGCAACGTAAAGGGTCCTCAAATTTTACTAGAAGAGACTCATGTGCAGGTTTAGTTTACTAGTTATTGTCATTTTAGACAATGGAACTCAATTTACTTGCACTGCCGTAGTTGGTTTTTGTCATGACCTGGGAGTGCAAACAAATTTTATTTTCTTTGTCCATCCACATGCAAATGGGAAGGTTGAACCAGTAAACAAGGTGATATTAAAAGGGATAAAAATACAATAAGAACTTTGTATTTCATAGAAAAATATCCTTGCCACCCCAAGGATGATATGAGTGTTATTTATGCGAGATATCTCCATATAGATCACTAAACTAAAGTCTCACATGAGGGACACAACTAAAGTCTATTTTGTGAGACTCACCTAATGTCTCTCTCATGAGGGACTCAACAAAGTCTCATGTGGGACTCAACTAAATTATCACTTGAGGGACTTACCTAAAGTCTCGCCTTTGAAACTTAACTGAAGTCTTGCATGTGAGACTCAACTAAAGATTCGCCTGCGGGACTCAACTAAAGTTTCACTGAGGGACTAAACTAGAGTCTCGCTCGAGTTACTCCACCTGAGGCTTTATTCCAACAAAAGAAAGCAAAACTAAATCGCTTTGCACTTTTCAAACCCTCATGCTTAAGGGAGTGTGTATTGGTACACTTGTAAGGGCCCCATAAGAGACGACGAGATAATGCAATTCCCCACCAACAATGCCCTACTAGTCGCTTGTTTCATAAATCAGACGCGACTCTCCTTCTTAAAATATGTCACCACGTCTTATACAACTCGCTCGAAGTAGGAGAACGTGAGAAATGGTGTGTCCCTAGTTCACAACAGTACAAAAGAAGTTGTGGAGAAACTAACCACACTTTCCTGAATAATAGGGGATTAACTGTCCACTCCCATGTCCCTTGAGAAGTGGTTGCTACTTTCTAGGTGCTTGGGATCTAGGCCCAAATACTTTAAGAAATCACTAATTCAAAAGTTAGGGAGGGCAGATCTCATTTACGTAGATACATATATAAAATTTTTCATCTCCTTACGTGAACTAACTTTAACCCTACAACAAATCCTAAAAGATTATGACATTCCTTAATCACTAGGGGTTGTCACATATTGTATTTTTAGGTTCATTGAATAATTGATGTATTTGGTCTATATATAGTATAAATATATCATTTATTTAGTGAATTTAAAAATCAAAACTTTGCTTATAAAAAAGAATGAAGAGACTATTTTCTATGAAAAATAAAGAATATACACTAACAATATAAAATAACTTTATACTGTCAATCAATCACCATCATGTATTCTGCCAAGTTAAACTAATATTTTTAAATTAATTGTATATAACTGAATGCCAAACTCTATTGAATATTAGTGTAAAACAATTTTATAGTATCAATTCAATAACCTTAATCTCATTTTTGATTACATCAAATTTTCAACCATTCATTTTAAAAATAAAAATCATTTTTTAACACAAAATAAAAACTTGTTTTATCTCATTTTTTATTACATCAAATTTTGAGCCATTCAATTTAAAAGTCAAAATTGTTTTTTTGTTAACACAATAAAAACTTGTTTGCCCTTTCAATAATAATATAAATAAATAATTAAAGAACAATTCTTAACCCGAATAAGCGTGCGTAAGTTCACCTAACATCACTTTGTTTTCTGACCCAAATCCCTCACCTGTGTTGCAGCCGCCTGCCTAACCCACTCTTTCTCGCATCAATGGCGGAAGCTGCCGACAAATCTCAAACTCTCGCGGAGGTACAATCTCTCTTCCGTTTTTACTTCTAAATTTTCAATTTTTCTATAGATCTTCGTTTTAATTCGACTCGCTTTTAGTTTTGGAATCGATTTTTCCGAAAGCTGTTTTGGTTAATTTTACAATTCACAGTGATTTCTGCTAGATCTTGTTTTTTGCAATTTGATTTTACATTTTCTTCTAATGTCTGTTATGTACAATTCGTTTAACTTAGTCTAAGAAAATTTGTAATCTTCAATACTTACCGATGATTTTAAGTCCAGATCTATATCATGAGCGCACGCAAAATATTAACGTCTTTTGCAGAATTAATGTTATCTACCGATTGAAGGCGTAGACACACATAGTTACATTTAATCACTTATAATTTTGTAACTATTATCGGTTTTCATGGCTTAGTGTTGTGTGTCGTGTTCGTCTAAGTGTTTCATAAAATAATATTCTATTGTGCTTCAATTTGCCATTTGTATGAGTTAGATAAAGAGAATAGAAAAACGATTGAAGAATTGGATATGATAATGCTACACCAGAAAGTTTGCAAGATTTTGCTTATGTGTACTCTCAGGTCAATATTATAGGCTAATTTTGCTTATGAGTACTCATCGGGTCAATATATGGGTAGATGCATAAGTTATTCAATGCATCTGAAAAGTGAATTTTTACTTATAATAGTGACAGGAAGAGCAATTCTCTAGTCTTTAACTATTTAACTATGTAGAGAAGTTGCTTGTAATTATACACTTTGGATGTTATTATTTATTTATATGAAGAATTGGTATGATATGTTGCTAGTTTGTATTTTTTGTTAGGTAGTTATGGTATTTTCCTTCAATTTCCTCAGCTCAATACATGTTTTATAATGTCGTGTAAGATTTGAGGTGAAGTTAGTTACAAAAATGTTTTTGACTTGCAGCAATACTATGTGAAGGACAAACAAGAGAAAGTAGAGGTAGTTGAAAAACCTGTTGCAGTCGAGGTAGTTGAAAAACCTGTTGCTGTTGAGGAAGTTGAAAAGCCAAAGGAGGCTACTTCCGGGGAAACTGTTGTTGAGAAAGCTGAAGAAAACAATCTAGAGCCAAGCAGTGAAACAGTTGTCTCAGAAAGCAACCTAGAGCCAAGCAGTGAAACTGTTGTCTCAGAAAGCAACCTAGAGCCAAGCAGTGAAACTGTTGTCGAAGAAATTTCTGGTGATCAAGAGGAAGCTGAAGAGAAACCTGAAATTAAGGTGTCATTTATTTACCTGAATCATCAATCTGGGACTGTTGCTTGATTTCATCATAAGTGAAGTTGTTGATCCTTTCAATATTTTGATATTTGTTCTTTATTTTCCAGCTAGAGACTGCTCCAGTAGATTTCCGTTTTCCAACTACTAATCAAACAAGGCATTGCTTCACCCGATACATTGAATATCATCGGTGAGTCATACTCTGTTGGCATTTATTTTTATGGAGCGTCTTGTTCGCGTACACTATAAAGTTGCACCATTCTTTTGTTTTAGCTTTTGAAATTCATGTGCAGATGTGTTGCTGCAAAGGGAGACGATGCACAAGAATGTGATAAATTTGCCAAGTATTATCGTGCTCTTTGTCCTGGCGAATGGGTATGTATTTTTAATTATCAATATTCTTTATTATTGGCTAGGCACTAGGATTTGCCTGTCCAACAAAATATACTTACAGATATATTGTCTTGACAATGTCAAATCTCTATGTGTTCATGGCCTATGTGATCATCTTGTTTGCCACAACTTGACTTTTCTTTGGTTTTTGTTCCACTTCACATGATATCCGATTTTATGCGAAATCAGAAAAATATTTTCTGTAAAAATTGCTAATATAATAAAAATAATAGTTATTAAATATGTTGGTCTTTGTGAGGAGTTCAAGGGAACAGTGATTGTCCCTTTCATGTTCATTCGTAAAATAGAGAAGGTGGTTTGGAATGGCTTCTACCCACTTCAAAGGTATAATGGAAGAAATCCATGCAGAACAGAAGTTGCATGACACAGAATCTTTATCCAAGTTGATTGTCTTGACGTTGCTGCATGAAGAAAGAACTCTGCTCCACAGAGATGTGAACTGGTTTGGAAGAAAGTGTGGAAGGAAATGGGAATCACCTTTGTGGAGTCCAGCCTAAGTAGGTGCTTGCTCCTCGGATTTAGCAAGGGGCTGAGATTTAGCATTGATGGAGTTAATGAAGAGAAGAAATCACTTGAGGAAGGAGATGGACACGGACTGAATTGCATGAGAAGTTCAGGGAGAAGTGGGGCTTACCAATAAGTTCTGGTATAAGGCTAGAATGAGTATTAAGATGTGGGGGAAATGTCGAAATTGGGAACAAGACCTATTAGATATCCTTTGAAAGTAAGGAGGGACTAACTTATTACCAATTCTTGAAGACACGGCGACATATTGGAGAAAAGAGGGTGTTGGTGTCAGTGAATTGTGGAGCAACTAGTTATTGAAAGAGTTGAAATTTAAAATAGGAGATACCCCATTAATATTTTGAAGAGGTGGGTTGGGCTAAGGTAGGGAATATGGTATTTGCAAGACTTAGCATGAAGATACAAGGAGGGGGATTCAAGCATAATTTATTTTTCATGGAGTAAGGAAGGAGGGACTTCAGTAGTCTTAGGATTGTATATCAAACTTGGGAAACAGTACAGTGGCTTCAGAAATTTGATCATTAAGTTGGAAGACAAAGGGGGTAGGAAGGTGATAGGAGAACAATAATTTGGTTCGTTTGTGTTAGAATGAAGGAAAATGGGCATGTGATTGACGAGTCCCAACTAGACCAGAAAAGTAAATAGAAAATAACAGGGTAGTTACTATATACAGTGGGGAGGAAGGCAGATTAGGAATTAAGCAGCAATTGTGCTGTGTCTTGAGGAGAGTACAGAGTCTCTAAATAGGTGTAACTTGTATGCATTCAACCCTCTAAATGCTCACAATGGGTTTAATTGGGTAATTTTGTTCATTCAATAAAGAAGAATTGTTTTCTCATTCTTTTATGGTACCGGTGTAAGAGAAGGTGTTGTTAAGAGGTGATTTTCCTTTTGCAAGGTACAAGGTTCTTAGAAATCCATGTCCAATGCATTGCTAGAAATGAGGGAGAAGGATATTATGTAGCTTATCGACATAAAGCCAACAAAATTGAATAAAAAAACATATAGCCAAATGAGAGGGACAGGAGTGGTTTTCACTTTTCAACAATTATAGAAAACATACTAGCTGAATTTGATAATGTTTCTCAAGAACAGAAGGGCTTAACATCCAAAGTGATTAGGATCGTGATATCGTATTGTAGTGGGCTCAGATTCCAAACATTTATCCCTACAAGTATCCATCCTACAAAAAAGTAGATGAAAATATTGTGTAGGAGATACATTTCTGCGTAGCACTAGCCCCCTTGTAGTTCCTAGCATATTAATTAAGAAAAGATGTCGGGTGGAAGGTTTCGTGCAGACTATTTGTATTAAATTCCCAATGATTATTTCATCCAAATCAGATCTGAAATCCGTGGGTACCATCAGATTTCCCCTCGGAGAGAAAATGACATTCCTAAGACAGTCTTTAGGACTCATGAAGGAAACTGTGAGTTTCTAGTTGTGCCCTTTAGTTTAACTAAGCATTGAGTTTGAGTACACGGCCAAATAATGAGATGTGTGATGTGCCCGATCAGATTTAGGAGTGAAGGTTTTGTAACTTACTGCCTAATTAGCAGTAATATGGGTGTGTGAATCTGTGTAATGAGAGTATAACAAAAGAGAGGAGGGGAAGAGACAGGTTAGGGTAGTATTACTATCAGTTGGGACTGTTGGGAGAGACCGGGCCCTTTCAAATTGTCGGGCAATTTTATTTTATTTTTGGTTTTTGCATTTTCTTGTTTTAGAACCCTGGAACTTACATTGCCATGATACACACAAGCCTTAATTTTCATCATTAAACTAACATTATTCAGTGATCAGATTTAGGAGTGAAGGTTTTGTAACTTACTGCCTAATTAGCAGTAGTATGGGTGTGTGAATCTGTGTAATGAGAGTATAACAAAAGAGAGGAGGGGAAGAGACACGTTAGGGTAGTATTACTATCAGTTGGGACTGTTGGGAGAGACCGGACCCTTTCAAAATGCCGGGCAATTTTATTTTGTTTTTGGTTTTTGCATTTTCTTGTTTTAGAACCCTGGAACTTAAATTACCATGATACACACAAGCCTTAATTTTCATCATTAAACTACATTATTCAGTGATCAGATTTAGGAGTGAAGGTTTTGCAACTTACTGCCTAATTAGCAGTAATATGGGTGTGTGAATCTGTGTAATGAGAGTATAACAAAAGAGAGGAGGGGAAGAGACAGGTTAGGGTAGTATTACTATTAGTTGGGGCTGTTGGGAGAGACTGGGCCCTTTCAAATTGTCGGGCAATTTTATTTTGTTTTTGGTTTTTGCATTTTCTTGTTTTAGGACCCTGGAACTTAAATTACCATGATACACACAAGCCTTAATTTTCATCATTAAACTACATTATTCAGTGATCAGATTTAGGAGTGAAGGTTTTGCAACTTACTGCCTAATTAGCAGTAATATGGGTGTGTGAATCTGTGTAATGAGAGTATAACAAAAGAGAGGAGGGGAAGAGACAGGTTAGGGTAGTATTACTATTAGTTGGGGCTGTTGGGAGAGACTGGGCCCTTTCAAATTGTCGGGCAATTTTATTTTGTTTTTGGTTTTTGCATTTTCTTGTTTTAGAACCCTGGAACTTACATTGCCATGATACACACAAGCCTTAATTTTCATCATTAAACTAACATTATTCAGTGATCAGATTTAGGAGTGAAGGTTTTGTAACTTACTGCCTAATTAGCAGTAGTATGGGTGTGTGAATCTGTGTAATGAGAGTATAACAAAAGAGAGGAGGGGAAGAGACACGTTAGGGTAGTATTACTATCAGTTGGGACTGTTGGGAGAGACCGGACCCTTTCAAAATGCCGGGCAATTTTATTTTGTTTTTGGTTTTTGCATTTTCTTGTTTTAGAACCCTGGAACTTAAATTACCATGATACACACAAGCCTTAATTTTCATCATTAAACTACATTATTCAGTGATCAGATTTAGGAGTGAAGGTTTTGCAACTTACTGCCTAATTAGCAGTAATATGGGTGTGTGAATCTGTGTAATGAGAGTATAACAAAAGAGAGGAGGGGAAGAGACAGGTTAGGGTAGTATTACTATTAGTTGGGGCTGTTGGGAGAGACTGGGCCCTTTCAAATTGTCGGGCAATTTTATTTTGTTTTTGGTTTTTGCATTTTCTTGTTTTAGAACCCTGGAACTTAAATTATTATGATACACACAAGCCTTAATTTTCATCATTAAACTACATTATTCAGTGCTCTGTTCGACCCTTTCTGGTTCTTGTCAATGTTGAGTATTCTTTCTCAGTTAATCATGCTTTAGTTAATTCATAAAAATATGCCACCTTCGTCTTTTTGAAGTTAGATTTTTTGTTCACCAAACCTGCACTTGAATAATAATTTTAATAGCATTTTACTTAGGAACTTGACCAAAACGTGCAAGTGAACTCATCGGCATATTTAAAATATTTCGTATTTAAAGTAACTATTCTATTAAATAGCAGTTGCCATTGGGTCAATGCATATACTTTTGAATCTTTTTCATGTCTTTTTCCTCAATGGCTCAATTAAGTCCATTTCACAAATATCTTCCTGTTTTCTTATTTCTGTTCATACCAATTTTAACATAGCTTTCTTGTCCAATCTAACAATCATTTTCCCTTAATTTGTTGATTGCATCAGGTTGACAGATGGAACGAGCAACGTGAGAATGGAACATTTCCAGGCCCGCTGTAGTGTGGCATATGTCTGAGATAGATGCACAATTCACTTGCAGTGTTACATTTAAAATTGCAAGAGACAAACTTCCAAACACTTCAGGGAATGTTCAATGTTGCGCATTGGGTTAATAAGAAATTTTGCTTTTCGATTTTTAAACCAGCTTTAGTTGTAAAATTGCAGGAAATGCTTCTGGTGAAATGTCCAGATATCTGTCTTGTTAATTACTGGATTCTTAACCGAGGGATCGATGTCTGAGTATTTTATTCCCCAAAGTAATAAATTAAAGAGTTTTTAAGATCAATATTTTATCCCAAAATAATTGTCTTGACTTTAATATTTGCTGATAGGGGAGTGCATGATTATTTTTAGAATCAAACCACATTCATTTATAAATTTCTTAAATGGTTAGGATTTATGACCTTAACCATTTTAATTAGAATCGGTGGTTTTTTTTTTTTTAAATTTTTTTTTATAAATATAAATCTGGTTTTAAATCGCTTATTTCTTTAAAACATTTTTGAATGATTATTTATAAGTTTAGATGAAAAATTGTTTTTTTTTTGTTTTAAAATTTGGTTATATTTTAAAACCATTTCTATTATTTTCAAAATTTATTTTAGTCAATGTCAATTTATATATATTAAATATAGATATATAATTAATTTAATTTGAGCTATTTTAAAATTTTACTTTTATAGAGAATATAGGATCGTGAAATTTATATCTTAGTGCATTATATATTCTCTATAGTATATTATATAAGCTATGGTTTGCATGGGTTTTCTTTTTTATTTGTTTACACTATAAAATTTTTTTTATATATTTATAATTGAGTTAACTTTTGAGTTCCACTATTTTTCTTTAGTATGCTATTTATCCAAAATGCGATGCTTTTTCTACAAGTTAAATAAAAAAATTGGTCATAAAAATCAGTTTTAAAAATAATAATAATTGGTTCTAAAAAAATCGACTTATAAATAAAAAATAACTGATATTAAAAAAAATATAATTTAAAAAAAAACAATTTTTTTTCTTCTGAATTTAAAAATAGTTTTGAAAAAACAATCAATTTAAAATATTTGTATAAAAAAGCATAACCATAACCAAATCTATAATTAAAATATGAATAAATCCTAAACATTTAAATAATTTATGAACAATTATGATTTGGTTTTTAAAAGTAACTAATCATACACCCCCGACTAATTCCCTTTTATATATCACATAGCTCCAAAGCTGGAATTATTTTAAATTAAAAGATGTGATTTTTGTGTAAAAATATTTTATATTTGTCTCAAATGAAAATCAAATTTGTTAAAAAGAAGTTGATTTATTTGTATTTTGGGCCGTTTGCAAGGTTCTTTCAAATATCAAGTAGAAAGGTGCACAAAATAAGTGAATTTTCATTCTCTTTATGGATAAACATTTAATCTTTTAAACGCATCAATCATTGTCTAATTCAATCGAACAACTGTACGCACAACATGTAACACCATAAACGCAAAACTTATATCAATATTTATTCGACAATTTAAGATGTCACCAACGACAACCCAACAACAAACTTTCAACGATTATCAACATATAACGAAAATTATATTATAACAACTACAAATTAAACCTCGTCAATAAAGTATTAAACTTTTAAAATACCAAAGTCACTCAAAACATAACAAACGTTCGTTCCCGATGTTACACGATAAGAGCACTATAACCACTAAATTACAATAAAAGATAAATAAAATGAAGAATTGCTCCAACAAGCTATCTTCCGCACACAACAACAACTTTACTCCTGAGTATCTGCAAGATGTCTATGGTGGAATAAATTAAGCAAAGGGGTGAGAAACAACATCCAATACACAATCAACATCATCATAATCTCACACTGTCGCGGTGAAATTTGGATACCAAACTATTGATTAGTTTGAATCTTTAATTCATTTTGCAACCGAACTTTGATTTGTCCAAAGGAAGGGATAAAGATCGAAATTCCCACAATGCAATGCAAATGCAAGGTTTAGAGAGTTATAGGTTCGGGGGTTGGTTAAACTTAGGGAAGGTACTAGCATCCTAAGTTTCTGTAGTACTCTACAGGAACCTCTTGTTTTATGTTATTTACTGCTATGTGTTTATCTGCTTAATGGTTTAAAGACCCTAGGGGTTTATTTCTAAGTATACTCGATAAGGCATCGCACCTTGTGCCTACATATCCTTACGGGAGTGGAATCAGAGTATGTTGTAGTTCACCCTAAAGGGTTAGAGGAGCTCTTTGACTATGGTCAAAGTTCCTACGGGTTTAGGGTAGTTGTTTTGATTGGGTCTAGGAGAAGGGACGAGTCTTCATTTTAAGGGAGAGATAACCACCACAAATGTAAAAGAGAAGGGTTGTAGGAAATGGTCTTTGCATCGTCTTAAGAAAAGGTCTTACATACTCGGATGGTCGCCAAGTATGCCTTTGTCGTTCTTAAGGCAAAGTCCCTACATGTTTGATTGTATTGTTGTGGGGGTGGGGATTATATCTCACTTAAGATGATTAACATCTATTCTCTGTTTGTGTTTGAAAAAGTTGTATTGTTGATTATGTGTTTCTATGTTGTAGAAAAATAAAGACAAGGTCCTTCCTATGGGATATGATCTATCCTAAACGATCGACTTGAAGAATCAAGGATCGAAGGGAATATGATGCAAATGATGTGCAACTACACACAACGTTGAATTATGTGTAGGTTTTTCCTTTGGACGGGATGCGATGTAATAAGAGTACATATGATAATGTGAATGCGATAGAATAAATTGCGTAAGAGTAAATTGCAGAAAGATAAACCATACACGAACGCATGAAAACGCTAAGTGAGCGTGTGTGCATTGTGAATAAAAGCAGATAAAGATGAATGTAAATACGCATGAAAGCGCTATGGTGTAGGTGCATGTGTCGTGAAGTGAGATTGATTTGTACGAGGCGCTGTTGGTTGATTTTAACTGTTTGACTTGATTTTAGACGAGGTTGAAATGTTTTTTTTAGTAAAGAAGTTGTATTTGATCATTAATAGTGAGATGAACTACCTTAGTTGAATTACCTATGAGGAAATATTTTGGTAAGATTGTTTTTAGTTGGTTAATTGAATTTCTACTTAGAAAAGGCAAATGGCTTAAAGAGGATTTCAATTTTAATAAGTCAACCTAAACATGTAAAAATATTTTTGAATAAAAGAGATTGTTACTATTAAATAAATAATAATTTAAGAAAAAGAGTTTATTAAATATAATAATCCTTAGTTATTAAATACAATTTATTAACTTGAAAAAAAAGATCTCTTTTTATGAATTATAGAAATTAAGTAGGTGAGAAAAAAAAGTTGATTGATTAATTAATTGAGTTAACTAGAAAGATTTATAAACTCATTATATAAAAAGTGATTAGAGATTAATTACTGATTAATAAATTAAATATTAAAGGCCTGAATTGGATAATTGTTAATTAGGTTGAAATAAAAGATTAATGGTAGGGATCATGGGAGTTAATTAACGGATTAGAGTGGTTAACGGGTGATTAGTGCGTATTAGGTGTGTGTGTGTGAATATGGTGGGTGATGCATCTAATTACATCAGACAATACAGCAAACGAAAAGAAGATGAGCAAACAGGCACACGATCGGAAACCCTAGCCCCTTTCTCTCAAATTGGTCCCTCGAACCCTCGATCATCTCCCCTTCGATTCGTCTCCCCAGATCAAGACTGCCTCACTCTTCGATCGCTCGCTCTTTCTCCTTCTGTCAGCCGCGATCGATTCCTCCTCGTTCATTATGCTTCGACTCTACAAACACACAGCAAGAGCATCAATAATTTAGAATTCGAAAAGGGAAGGGAGCATTACCGGCGGTTCGCGAAGGAGTTGCTGAGAGACGCTTCACGGTGAATGTTGATGGCGGAAGTTGGAGCTCGCGTTGGGTCCACGGTGAAGGGCGAAAGCGGCGATATACTTCGAGAATTAGATAAGTTTTCTTCTCCTTTCGGTCTAGGGTTTTTTTTTCCAAAATACCTCTTCACCTTCGTCTCTTATATAGGCACCCATATGAGGTTCTGGTGTGAGAATCTGATTGAAATATCTTGAATGCTGATTAATAGTTGATTTTGGACCTTCCCTTTTGGGTTTAGATCAAACGAAAACCTTCCTGTTTTGGTGATATTGTATTAATGTCTGTTGATGATAAAATCTTCTCCTATATGATTTATCAATCTCGTTTAGAACTTGGATTGTCTAGGTTCATCAATTTGGAGATTTGCTAGCTGTCTTAGATGGATCTTTTAGGTATATTCCCTCAGGGATTACTAACTCAGGGTTTATGATCTGGCAGGTGCAGATAGCGGTGAGTTTGGGCCAAAAATGTGGATTGGAAGCCCATAGAGTAATGTGGCTGTGGGAGTCTCCAATCGATGCAGGTGCAATCACGGATCCTTGCTCTGTTTATTGAGACAACTTTATTCATAACAGGTTGCTCTTGTTGCTGATGCAGGTTTAGTAAGTACTGCGTATCAGCACTTCTTCAGCTTTCCTACAACCAGCTACGGTAACGCGAAACTCAAGAGGTGGCTGTTTGTGGTTTTCAAAGGGAAACGTTTGCTGCAATTTTGGTCTTCTTGTGACAGTTGGTAATTTTCTTCTTTTAAGTAGATGTTTAAACTTCGGGGTTTGTATCACGTATCACCTTTATTCAAAGCCCTCTTCTATTTCTCTTGCATTTCTCTTGCAGTGCAACCTGTATTGGCTTGACCCCACCCCCATCTGACCAGCTCCAGCTTTCGACAAGGAATTTAAGATTTTTAGACTTCCACCACCGATTGCAATGTGCAAAGGAGTTGCAGCTATTGTAGGAAGTTATGAACTCGACACAACATTCTTCCTTTGTTGCCATCCTTCTGTTGCTGATGCTCTCACTTTGAAACGCAAGCTGATGACTTCAGTTGTTTTCGCAGGGGCTTGAAGGCGTTGCGAACGGGGCTGAGTTTTTGAG